TAATTAGTTGTAATCCATATTCTAAATTACTAAGCAATTTAATAAAGTTAAAATTACGACAAGTAGGAGGAACTGAAAACACAGGAGAAACTAGCCAGAACCTCAATAAACGGTTACAACAACATAAAAACAATTCAAAAAACCCCAAACAATTCAAAACTGTTCTTGCAGACCATATATACACTTTAAAACACAATATGGACTTTTCTAATCCGACTATACTACAATTTGAAAAAAATTTATTTAAACGAAGAATTATAGAGGGATCTGTTTTAACTATTTATAACAATAAGACAATAAATAAACGGAATGAACTCAACACGCTGTGCGACACAAATCTCTTCTATTTAGATAACATTTCCAAATTTCTTACAAAACAATAAAAGCGTTCGCGCAAAGGTTTTACAATTCGTTCCACACATGTGCAGAATCTTGGTAAAAATATTTTTTAAAAAATGACTTTCTCCATTACATCTTCAACCAGTCTACGAATAACACACTATTCATTTGTGATTTTTTCAAATCAGTATTTTGTGAAAATATTGTGTAATTTCAAGTTAATGTTTATAATACATAGTGTAGTGCATTACCATATCCTAATACCATGGATTATTAAAATTTTCCAATTTAACACTAAGATCAACTAATTGTAAGTACTAATTACTATTTTATTTTTTTCTTTTCACTCCAATTCAATTGTTTTAGTTTTTAATTTTATTTTTAGTTTCCACTGAATGAAGGCTAGGATTATAGCCGAAACGTATGGATTTAAAATAAATTTTTGAAAGAAATTCATGTTTTTTATTGATGTTATGCCCGATTATTAGACTTTGTTAATACATATGTCAACATCAAACGTCACAGTAATACTTGAAAAAGAGGACTATTTACAAAAAATTACCGAATCACTCTCGGACGCCAGTACCTACACGACCATAAACAACGACCCAACCGAACACATTAACCGCTCCTGTCATAAACTTCTAGACAAATTAGTTACCAATAAACAAATCACAAAAGATACAGCTACAAACTTAAAAAATGTACACCCATACTTTCCAAGATTATACGGCCTTCCTAAAATACACAAAACAAACGTACCTTATAGACCGATTGTTTCAGACATAAATTCTCCACTATACAAATTATCCAAGTACATTAGTAATATCTTAACAACAATAACAAAACAGTCCCCATATTACATTAAAAATTCCTTCGAGCTTGTAAAACTTCTTAATAATATTTCCATTCCCAATAATTATAAACTAATTAGCCTAGACGTTATATCCCTATTTACAAATGTCCCACTAGACTTAATACTAGACGCCATCACTAGCAGATGGAGTGAAATTAGCCCTCACACCACACTATCCTTACATTGGTTTAGAGAAATCATCAAATTCATTGTCTCTAACACCTATTTTGAATTTAATGGATCATTTTATTACCAAATTTTTGGCACCCCAATGGGATCTCCCGCATCTCCGTCTTTAGTAGAAATTTCCTTACAATTAGTAGAAAACAATTTTTAATAATTACAATAAGCAAATCTTTTATTACCGATATGTAGACGATATCATTACTTGTATTCCGGAAGAAGACATTAACATATTTACTGATAATTTTAACAATTTTAATAAAAAACTACAGTTTACCGTAGAATTAGAGACAATGAATTCGATTAGCTTTCTAGACATCAGACTCATACGTACAAATGACCACCGACTAATTACTAACTGGTACCAGAAACCAACTAGCTCCGGACGATACATAAATTACCACTCATACCACCCTCTTAAAATGAAAATTGCGACAATAATAAATTTAACAGACCACGCCATATTACTATCTGACAAAAACTTCTGGGACACGAACATTGACCTGGTTATAAACACACTGAAAAACAACTCATATCCTACGAACATAATCAACTCGGTCATAAATAACAGACGCAGTTACATTTTTAACAAACAAAAAGACCTCACAGACCATAAAAACCGCTTAGACTTAGAATCATATACTGGTGTCATTTGCCTACCGTACGTAAAAGATTTATTATATTTATTAAAATGAAATCTAAGTTCAATTTTGACCGCCTCAGGAATTTAGTATATCAAATTAATTGCTCTAATTGCGAACTCTTTTATATTGGAGAAACTAGCCAAAACCTGAGTAAACGCCTTAATCAACACAAAAATAATTCAAAAAATCCTAAGCAATTTAAAACAATGTTAACTGAGCATATTAAAAATTTAAATCATAATATCGATTTTTTTAACCCTAAAATTTTACATTTTGAAGAGAATACAATTAAAAGAAGATTCGCTGAGGGGTTGTTTTTACAATTACATAATGACAGAGTCATAAATAAACGCAATGACAATACGGCCCTTATCGAAACGAACACGTGGTTTCTTAATAGCGTGTCAAAATTCCTTAAAAAATAACAAAATCCCATCGCCTTTTAAATTTTCCAAAAAATATCAACACATGCTAAAAACTGCTTTGAGAAAAATGTGACATTTCTATCCTAAACTCCAAAGAGTAAATACATAGTTTCGACAACTTGTTAAGTTATCATGATTATTAGTGTGTTTTACCATTTGTGATGTTTGTGTTAAAAAATATATATCTTATCAATGTGCACATACTCATACTATGGATTAATAATGGTTTCATATGCTATATTAGGATACAAAATTGTAAGTGTTTTATTACTATTATTATTATTATTGTTTTTCCACAAAATTTCTTTTCATAATTTATTTAGTTTCAATTTTTATAGTTAACTTGATTACCACTGAATGATGGCTAAGATGCTAGCCGAAACGTATGGATTTTAAATAAATAAATTTAAAAAAAAACTCATACTATTTTTATTGATGTTACGCCCGATTATTAAACTCAAATTAAACATATATATATATATATATATATATATATATATATATATATATATATATAAAGAGTGCGCGTTTGGATCACACGCGATTGAAGTAAAACTTATTTGCTACTGTACAAAGTAGAAATTTTAAGAAGTAAAAATAAATACATCATATAATAATTTTGAATAATGTTTATTAGTAATATGGTAACACTCGTGATGCACACATTTATTAGTGTCAACCATTATACACTTTTATATAATGATTAATAATAAATTATATATTTATAATAGCATTAAAATATGTATAATATTTAAAAACAATAATTAAAGTTATACTTCAAATATGACATGATCGCTTTGTCATTGTAATTAGAAATGTTATCATCGAGAGCGAATGACTAATCATTGGCACACGATTCTTATCTTATCTTATCTGCCGTAACGCACTTTCGTTGCATTTGTACGGATTTACACCCTAGTCGCGCCTAAAGAAGTTTTACTTCAATATATATATATATATATATATATATATATCCGATACGCAGAAATAATTATAATGAACAAATTAAATAATTGTTTGAAAGAAAGAAGCATTTAGTTCAGAAAAACATTGTATTTGTCCGGAGAGAAATCGTGTATTATAAACAACTTGGTGCAAGTAAACCTTCTCCAAACAAAGCTAAGAAAAACTTACTCTAACGAACAAAATCGCAAATTATGAAATTGTTTTCAAATGAGTTTATTTCCACATAAAATTGCTCTTGACCTTTAGGATGAGTTAAGTAATATAACAAATATGAATGTGTTTGTCTATTATTTTACAAATTTATACTATTAAATAGTATTTTGCTCGAAGGCAGTCCATGGTATGAAAGCACCAAAATTAAAATATTCCTTTCCTTCTCCTGTTTATTATTCCCATTACCATTTATCACTTTGCATTCATTCTCATGAATTTTCCATACTAAACTTACAAATTCTGATTCCAGGCTTCCTGATCATGTGCCTCGTTTTTCAGTTCTCAGTATTTTCTCTTTTCGCGTAAATCGTCAACTATCTGCATTTTTCTTCTTCTCAATCTTTTCAGTCCTCCTATTTTACCTTCGACGACATCATGTAGAAAGCTCGCTTTTTGCAGAATTGGTCCGATCTAGTTTCCTTTTCTTTTAATGATCGTGTTCAGCATAGATCTTTCTTCGCCCACTCTTCTTAGGACTTCTTCATTTGATATCTTATCTGTCCACTTTATCTTCTCCATTCGCATTCAGCTCTACTATTTCAAAACTTTCCAGATAGTTTTTGTCGACCTTTATTAGAGTCCACAGTATATATAAAGAATAATGGACATGTACGAGATAGGGAATAACACATGAAAATTATAGTAAGTATATATTGCTTTTCAATGTGACGTTATCAAACAAAACAGCAAGAAGTCGTCAAATTATAATGTAATTGTTGCCTAGGGCCGGCCGTGGTCCCGTGGTAAGAACGTGAGCTAGCAAATCCTAGTCCCGGGTTCGAATCCAACCTCGGTCGGTTCGGTATCAAAGCAGCTTGATACCAAATTTTCACTTGAAATCATAGATTTCAAATATGATTTCAAGTGAAAATGGCCTTTCGTGGGCATAGCTGTAGTGGCAACATGCCACTTGGAAGTAAAAAGTCATCACTATTACAACAATTGTAATAATTCAGCACATAGAGATGGGACAACTGTTTGGGTTGCCATCTATAATAATTGTAAGATAATTGATCACAACAGCTCATAGAACTCATAAGTTCTGATCGCTGTTAAAGAATTTAAAAAAAAAAAAAAAATGTTGCCTAGATAAATTGTATTCGTGTGCGTATTACCGAAAAAATGTGTAATTATTACCAAGTTCATGAAGAAAATATTTCATTGAGTTTATGATCTCATGAGTCATGATTGGATGCATAGTAATTTGATTATTAAGCGTAGGTAGTTCATATGATATAATATTGTAATTAATAATGTACAAATAATATGCAATCATTCGAGATTATCTTTGACACAATTGTGTCGTGATTGAATAGTAAATTAGTTTTTAAGCATATGTAAATATATTTTTAATCATATTGTAAATTTTTACAGTTGGTCGGTTTGGCAGTACTAATCTTGGCAGTATGGATGCTATCAGATCCCACGTTTTACTTATCGATGACACAAGATGAGAGCAACTACTACATTGGGATTTATATATTCCTGGCGGCCGGAGCACTTATGCTGGTGGTCGCCTTTCTCGGTTGCTGCGGAGCTTTTCGAGAAAACACATGCATGCTTGTCTCGGTAATATTATTTTTTCATAATGGTGTTTATGTACTAAGAAGTCCATATTGTATTACTTTACAGTGGCGTAACTATAGGGTGGCGTGGGTGGCAAAATGCCACGGGCCCCCGACCTAAGGGGGCCCCGGGCCAGAAAATAGCGGACTCAGAAATACATGTTTATATTGAACATAAATTTTATTTCACTTGAAACTTATATTTTATATTTTTTAAGTTCAAAGTCGGAGTTAATTATTTAACCAGGCTTGCGTCGAACTTACATTCGGCCGAATATTTAGTTAGTTAAAACCACAGAAGTCGCCGCCACACAGCGAAAGTATTATATATGATATCAATAATGAATTAATGAATTTAGTATTGTATATATATATAATAATTTTATACTATGTCGACTTTCAAGATAAAAAACGAACACGTGAAGAACTCTTTTCTCAATATCAGGGGCGTAGCGCGCCTTCGCGGGGCCTCATATCAAAATTTGATTGGGGGCCCCCTTAAGAAGAAACTTTTTATCACATATTATTTAAATACATAAAATTAGAAGAATAGTTATTTATTATTCTAATTATTTTTCTATCTAATTTTCTATAATATTCTGAATTTTTCATAAATGACTTCAGATAAAAATATTCTCACCGTATCTTTTTTCGAAAAACTGAATTATTAAGTGATCTTTAGATTATCTAATGTTTCTGTCTCTAGGAACGATAGTGACAAATCTGGTAGACATTTCTGTCCTAAAGTTTTTACGTAATTTTAGTTTTAATTTTGAATATCATCGTATTCGTAAAGTACATACATAGTTTTAAAATCTTTTTCAAATATTTTGCTGCAGAGATAAATTCTCTTAGAGCATTAGCTCACAAGTTGAAGTTCAATACCGCTCGATAACTACGTCCAAGTTATTTAATTTTTTATAAATCATTGTTTTGCTTTAGATTTTTCATCATTGGGCTTTCCTGGCCCGGGGGCCCCGTATTTTTCAAAGAACATTCAAAGGAATAATATTCAAAGAATACATTATTGTTATAGTTAAATGTCATTTAATATTTAACGGCTACGTGCATGAGTTGTATGTACAATGAAGTCATTCATTATATTCAATCTAAGCCGTTACTAAATAAAGAGCTATCTTAGGTTTTTTATCGCACAAAATACAAACATTATTTTTGGTTTTGAAAATCAAAAGTTTATCTTCAGAAGCAGATTATACTTCTGACATGTGGACTCCGACAAGTCTCTTTCTTAATTTCATTTATTATAATTGGTATATTGCTGATTATGCTATTTGTTGCATCGCAAGCCTAATTTCAACACATTTTAAACAAAAGGATTTTAATTCGTTTTAGAACACATCTACTGGTCTCTTCATATTTTTCTGCATTTTCTTTGAACAGTTTATGAATTTTTAATTATTTAGGCTATGATATATAAAGATGAAATATTTTATCAAGATTTAATCTAAGAATCTAATAACGAAATAACACAACATTCTGATGCCATTCTGGCCTTAAAACTCCGTTTTTTTTAAATCCAAAATGAAACTATATCACATAAAAAGAAGTTTGGAAACTACAATTATTTTATTATAGGCTTTCCATTGTAATATTCTACTACTATCGACACAGCATCTAAAGCGCCATAAGCTAAAATTTAAAAATTTGTTAAGAATTAGAAAATTATTGACATGAATTTGGAAATTTCAAATTAGACGCCACTAGTGTAGTAGAAAAATGATTTATCAATCATGAATATCTTAAAACTCGTTACAGTTAAGTAATACGCTATTTTGGCAAGCTTTGGGAATTCATATTCAAGATACTAGAAGTTTGTTAAAAGTTTATCGAATATTGGACATTATTAAACAAATTAAATCTTGTTTCTTCCGATGAATTAATATGTTCCAAATTTCAGCACTTTGCTACAATAGAAGTTTTCAATGATACTGATCTATTAAATAAAAGCTCTATAATTTGTTTAGATAAAAAAGACATATTAGAAATTCAGAATAAATAAATTTTAAAATTATTATTTAATAAATCAGCACCATAAAAAAAACTTTTGTTCAGATTCTAAACCATTTACCAGGGAAATTTGAACAGAGGCGGAATTTGAATAGGTGCAGAGGGCTAACTATTGTTTCTTCTAGATAAGCTACATGACAAAAGTCTTCATCGTCATTAAAAAAATCGTCCAAATGGTATTGAAACGGATTGGATTTCCGAGGAAATGAATACTTTTCAATACTGTTTTTCATCAGGGATATTGTTTAAATCATAAATTTTTATAGAGATCGAACGTCACTACTTAATCAATAAAACTAATTACAGTAAAAAAAAGAAATTGTTAATGGAAGGTTATATATTAATTAAATTTAAGAAAGTGATACTTATTTTTAATTTTCATTAAAAATACGTTTAATTTTAATTTCCATCTATTCTTACGTTGAAAATATTCACTAATATTTCATGTTTGATTTTCAAAAAATTAAGTTTATGTATTTTGTTATTTTCATATAATTACAATTAAATTATGATTATAACTCTAAATCAATACTTTACTTTTCTACCTGTGTTATAATTTCATAATTTAAAGTCATAAAATATAAATTAGTCCAAGTTGGTTTGCTAATTTTGATAAAATTCAGTAAAAATTGTTTTAACCAGTAGTAAAACAGCGTGTAAATGATTATTAATGTTTATTAAACAAAATTAGATAAATTAAAAATTGAGTACCACGATAGGGCCCCATCGGAAGACTTTGCCACGGGCCCCGGAGGGTCTAGTTACGCCACTGATTACTTATGTTATTTTCTTGGAAGCTAGAAAAAAATTCTACCAGAAACGTTGTATTAAAACATTGATGAATTATGCATTCAAAATCAAGTCAAGTTAATCTAATATAAAATTTCCTACTTGTTATTAATATTATTATTGAATCTACTGACCTGAGAATACAACTATTCTCAGTTAAGGCCAATATTCCGATAAAATAGAAATGTTATGGTAATGCTATGTATCTTTGCATAAGTTAGTAGTGACAAACTGTCAAAAAGCTATGTATTTGCTGTGCGATCAGGCATTTTACTCATAAAATCTAACCTACAAAACGCACACTCGTCTAATAATAATTCTAAGGGCATATAAAATGAGGGATTACTCTGCCAAAGGCATAAACTGGAACTTTTTTTCTATAGCAATGAAAGAATTGTCTTGATTTAGCTACATCAGTCATGATATTTAATCAATTATAAAATTTACAGAGAATATTTCATATTAATAATTTTTATATCACTTACTGCCAGGATTGGATCTCTTAATTTAACAGCATTATGCCCGAATCAGTTTGAAATTGAGAATGATGTTGATACAAGATTTTTGCTTCAGGTGAAAAAGAACCAATAATGTTATCAATAAATATGTTATTTCTTTCTTAACGATTAGAATCCAGTACTGCATTATTGCAACTTGATCCCATAGAAAAGCATCTTTCTAAGTATTGATACCATTAATATAAAATATTCATTTTGCCAAAAAAATTTAGAGACTTGCAATAAAGGCTATGTAATTGTCTTTTATTTAAAATTATAATATACGTAGGTTTTATGCGTAAAAAGCATGATCACACAGAAAATACATATATTTTTGACAGTTTATTACTACCAACTAATACGAAGATAGACCCATAACATTGCATTGCCATAACATTTCTATTTCATCAAAAATTTGGCTCCTAAATGGTGACCTTCTTTGTAAGGTTTGTAACTTGCACATCATTGTATAGTGTTGAAAAACACTTTATCGTATAATTATGCACATATTATAAAAGTTTATTCTGCTTCTTAATTATGTGCATTTTTGCGGTACCAATATGTGCAGTTGAAGCTATCTTCTTTTATATAGCTATCATGCCTATCGTAATATAACATATTAATTGCTAGAAAAAATAGTCACAAAAATAATTATCGACAACAATTATTGAATTGTTTAGCAAACGACTGGCAATTTACTAATTATATCAATGAAACAACAGAAAAAGCTCTCTAGTAAATTTAGAAACCATAATATTTCAAATGCCAATAAGGTAAAATTATAAAACTAATATAAGTGCTTTCTAATGCAGTTATTGTGTTTTATATTATTGGTTTAAATGACTTATTAGTTTATTTTAACGGATACATTGTTAATGCTTTCAAATTCTTTTTTCTTTCAAAATTTTGTCATTTATAATATATCTCCAATTATTAAGACTTGATTTTATTGATTTGTTATCATTAGAAAGTATAGTAAATATCAACTTATTCCAAATGTATCTATAATATATTCGTATACTCTAAGCGAACATCAATATAATGAAAATTGAAGGAACGCCTTATACGCCACACCTTTATACAGACCATTTCTTTCTCATATATCTATAGGTTATAATTTATAAAAATGCTAAAGAAGATATAGTAAGTTCTGTTTTTTTTTATTATTTCTTCATTATGTTATCTATTTGTTTAACATCATCTGTACTTCCTGAATGTTTAAGGGACAACAATTACCACAATGGATTAAAATTGCTCATATATTGTTATCCCAAGTCCTATATAATTTTATGTACCCCTAGTATAATTACAATTTTAATATCCACAATTTGTTTCTGAGATGTGTAAAAATAGAAATAAAGACTAGTATTTGCGCGACTTTGGTATCAAATCCATATGCTTTTGTGGTTTTGTTCATGTACAATCAGTAATACTGGGACCATTTCCCATAAATGTAAAATTGGGTTTATAATGAAACTCTTGTTGACTTATTTGTTTCACTAAATTATTTATATGATTATTTACATGTGCATAACTTAACTTATTCATTTAATTAATTATTATTTATTTTATTTATTTAACTGGTTTCGCGAGTTACGCGGGTACTTTCTTATTGACGCTTAAACTTGTACTGAAAATTATACCTATTATTTTTGGGTAAATGTTTTTTATTGCCCTGTATGAAGCGAACAGCTTTGTGCTTGTGCGTTGTTGCATTTTTTGTACATTGGAGCAGCAATTCGCTCCAAATATATTCAATGTTTTCTATAAGTTTTATTTATACAGAAAGGTTTTACGTGGTTCAATAGGAAATGTAAGAAAAAAATGTAAAAAAAAATCCGCAAAATTTTTGGTCACGAAATGGTCAAATCCAGTTTTTAATATTTTTTTTTATAATTGGGATATTTGTTTACATATATAAACTACATAAGAATTTTTTACATGTATTTAGTTCATATATTTTCATCAGAATTACATAAATAACTATTTTTAAAGCATCATCATAATGATTTATTGACATTATCAATAGTTCTTCTGCTGCTTGCTAATCATCCTGGTAGCAGAGATTGCTGCTGGTGCTTGGGTCTATTACAATGCAGATCGCCTCGAGGGAATGGTGCGAGCTTCCGTCAAGGCAACTGTGCAGGAGGAATATGGAATCATTCAATCGCGGACTATTACATTCGATGCCATCCAGAAAGGGGTAAATACTAAAAATATTGATATCATTTGAATAGATGCTATGATTGTCATTAATTTGACATCCAGGAATTTTATGTTGACAACGTACGTATTGATGTTTACTTTATATTGTTTTAAACAACAAAGTTTAGTTGTTTAGTACAAAGTCTTTGAAATATTGCAATATATTTTCAATTCGATGATATTTCAAACAATTTTTTCGCATTTGATGATTAAAACCAAAAAATGATTTCGAACTGTTCAAAACAAAATAGAATGAATAAAATAGCATGTATGTTATTAGGTATTGGAGGTTGGAATTAATTCATAGCGTTTTACCAAATACTGCGTTAGATAACTGTTTGCAGTCACATAGACCAATAGTCCAGTCATTATAACAAGTTCACCTCGGAATTCGAGATACCCAGTTGTAAGTCCATAAATACTCTGTAAATACACCCTAAGAGTTGTCTCAAAACCTACATATGGTAGGGTGTACGTACCATATGTAGGTTTTGAGACAACTTTTAGGGTGTATTTACAGAGTATTTACAGACTTACAACTGGGTATCTCGAGTTCCGAGATTCTTACCTAATTTAAGCTTAAATGATTGGACTACAAAGTAAATTTTGTTCTGGAAGATCCATGGTGCATGGCTTATCAGAGTACCACTTCCAGAAATATGAGATGACTTCGAATAATTATTAACTTTTGAATTCCGAGATTCTTGCCTAATTTAAGCTTAAATGAGTGGACTACAAAGTAAATATTCTTCTGGAAGATCCATGGTGCATGGCTTATCAGAATACGACTTCGAGAAATATGAGATGACTTCGAACAATACTTAATAACATTCGAATTCCGAGATTCTTACCTAATTTAAGCTTAAATAACTGGACTACAAAGTAAATATTCTTCTGGAAGATCCATGGTGCATGGCTTATCAGAGTAACACTTCGAGAAATATGAGATGACCAAAACTTGCATAAATTTATTTATCGAAACTAAAGGAGATGATTTTTTCGACTTGGTATCTGGGCTTCACCAGAACTATGCTAAAAAGTAAATAGTTAACAATGGACAATACTTCGAATAATTCTTACAATAAATCACCAAACTTTGGAAGAAGCTACGATTACCTATATATTTTAATTAGTACAAAA